GGAAGTGCCCTTTTTATCGCAGTTATTTAAATACCTGTTTGGAATACTGCGGAGGAATTTTATTTCTATTATTTCTAACAAGAACTACAAAAGTAACCTGAGTCTTTTTGGCTCCCTGTTGGGGTAAAATTACCAGCAGGAAAGATGTTTCTGTGTTTAATAAAGAGATCCAACTAGCTTAATATTATTTGTCTCTCCATTTCAAACTAGGTCTGATCTTCCCCAGTTGTTTTATCTGTAATGTAAATAGCTGTCATGTCCCACTAGTAGAGTATGGCTCTATGTTTTTATTTCTGGTAGTGGGATAGATTTGTGCAGAGACAATACACTATAGTAGTTAACCCCTGGTCTTTGAATCTAAATACAAGCTTTAGTAGAATGAAGCAATTAATATCTCTGGGGCTTATTTATCCTATTTATAAATAGGGATGATATTACTTCATAAGGACATTGACTTTTAGCTTTAATATATAAATATAGCCTCCTACTAAGTGTCATGCTCACACTAAGCTCTCACCCAAAAAGTAATCACTGTCAAGTCATTATTTTTTGGTCGTCATACTAAATTTATTGGCTCTCATAATGAACAACTTATTTTTTAGCTTATGTATATAAGCTATTGAGTGTGACACTATACATACTGATGGAACCTTATAAATAAGACTAATGTTGTCTGGGAAAATGTTGTTTTAAATAAGAAACTGATGGGTTTTAAATATTGTTAACACTGGATGTGAGCTTTAGGACTATGTAATCAGGATCATAGGTATGCAGAGAGCTGTTTTCCTTAAAACTTGACACTTAAACATTAATAACATATTGTTGACATTTTCACTAAGAAATGCCTTTTATAGCAGGCTCAACGTTTTAAAAATATTTTATTACTTTTATTTAAGAAATACCCTTTGGATGTGGTCTCATCTCTGCATTCTCATTTTAACTGTCCCTAAGCAGAATTATGATACTGAAAAACTTTTTAGCATCTTTAAGCCTCAATTTTCTCATCGGAAAAACATTTATAATAATAATACTCAGACTTCCTGTGAATTAAAAGAGACATTGAACATGGTGTTTTAAATGTAGAAAGTACCCAATAAATACTGTTTACCAATGACATTATTCACATCCTGGTATTTATATATACTTTTCCCATGATCACCAGTTTTACGCAATAAACTAGCAAAAGGAGCAGAATATGCAGTTATATTACAGTCTGGCCATGAGATAATTTCTGTTCTAGATTAACAAAAAGATACATGCCCAGTTCTTTAGATCTGAAGTTTTCTGAATGACAGAAAAGTCATCTTTTATTGTCAGTTTTATTGAATTTTTCTGTCAAATTCAAATTATATTTAGATGTATATAAGCTAGTTCATTTTCCAGAATGTTTTATCAAGGACATCTTTATTAAGTGGAAAAATAAGATGTAAGAACTTGCATCACTGCTGGAATTTCTGATTCCTTTGTACCGATCTCAGAAAAAATGAAGCATAAAGGGCTGACAGAGATACAGAGAACATTTCATTAATTGAATTTGAAGTGATTTGAAATAAAGAAATTTAAAACAGGAAGAGAAACCACCAGTGTTAATACATCAGTGCTTAGTATAGTATTTTATATACGTTTTTTATTTTTAAAATAATTGACAAAGTATTTAATTACAGAAAAAAATCCCTCATTTCATTCACTATGTTAGAATGAGGTAACATAAAGAGGTCAAATTTGTACTTCAAATTTGTATAACGGGGCCAGGAATATAGCTCAACAGCACAATCACCTGTCTGGCAAGTGTAAGCTCGTGAGTTCAATCCCAGATACCAAAAAAACCCACAAAATTATATAATACCAAAAAGAAAATGTAAATAAGCATTATATGTGATGAAAATTATATGCTCCAAAAAAGTTAAAAAGTAAATAAAAATGTGAAATCTTCTTAAATTATGTGGTCAATAATTATTGAAGCATTATATGATATTTTGAAAATTGTGTTAATTACTTGATATTATCTAATTCCTAATTCCTAAGGAGAAACAGCATAGTCCCACAAATGGTTATTTTCTTTACTAACTATAATTTCAGTCAAACACAGAAAAAAATGATCAATGGTAAAATTGCTTTGACTTTGTTTACCCACAAGCACAGAGCATACTCCAGGTAGACCGTAAAGTAGATAAGAAAATAGCTGTGTCCCCAAGCAATCATTTCTGTGTGTATTTACCTAACTACTTTTAAAATTCAAGTAAATCCCAAAAGAAAAAAAAAAAAGATTTACTCTTCATTAAGTTCCAGCTTTATCTGTTATTCTTTAAAATCTCAATCCTAATTCATTTATTAGTTGAAAGAGAAAAGAAATTTCAAGGCCACAAAACCCAAAGATAAATGCATATTCTCACGTATTACGTGTTAGCTTTTCTATGAAAGCCTTCTTATTTTAGCTAGCTGGTCTCACTTTAGGTTTTTAATATTTGTCATTTTTTCTGCTTTTTAGTTTTCACTTTTATTAGGATATGTTTTCAGTACATAATGATTGCATTCATTGTGGAGACTTGGTCCACATTTAGGACACGTCTTTACTCTTTCTGTGTCTCTTTTTTTCCCTTTCCTTTCTGGGCTACCTTTCCTTTTGCAAGGCATCCATCTCCTACGTCCTATTACCTGCCTCTGATTTTACTGATGGTTTATTTATCCTTCTGTATTCTCCTATAAGAGAACTCTATGATATTTAAGCTGTGCATCTGATTTTTTCTACTTAACATTGGAGATGGGTGTGTTGTCCTCTGCCTGCAGTCCTATCCCACTGGGAGGCTGAGGCAGCAAGATCAAAAGTTGCACCTGTTTCAAAAGAAAAAAAGAACTGGCAGTGTAACTCAGTGTGAAGGCTCATTGTTGGCATCTTCAATGCTGGGGTTGATGGGGGAAGATTTACATTCTCCACCCACACTACCTACTTGGCTAAGTCACAGTGATCCCATTACTTGCATTTCTGTGTTTTCTTAACTTTGTGATAAATATATCTTTTATATTGTTCGGAATGTTCTTAAGCAATTTAACTATTTTTTGAATATAGTTCAGCACACATGAAACCGCAAAAAAAAAATCCTGAAGTTTCTTGTTAACTTCTATGTTGTCCCTATTTTTCATTTTGAAATCTGTAACACATTTCCCATTTTTGTCATTTCTTTCAGCTAAAAACATTCTAATTGTAAAGCTTATAAACAGAACATATTCTCCAGTTAAGTACTGTAAGTCCAAGCTAAGATTAGTTTTGGTTTTGATAGAAATCATCAAGAGAAAATCAGCAAAACTTAACGGCTGAATTTATCACCGCAAGCACTCCATAAGAGTTCCCTACCCACAGTGGGAAATTATAACTGCTCAGATTCTGTTGAGTCTGATGCTCATTTTGGCTCCCTGCTTAGGTCCATGGATGAATATAGTGGAACAAATACACATGAAAATTAAAACCCTGATATTCTCTAATATGGGTTCTGTTATTCTGAAAACACAGAGCATGCTCTGAATTAATGCATATGAATGAACATGAGTGCATACCTTTTAGGGGGGATTTGCAATTATACTAACCGCAGTTTTTCCTTTTATGGATATATTTCCCACCTGAAAAGTCCTACTGGGAGTCAGACTACTCCATTTTTCTTTTTCTGATAAAATCTAAGGTTTACTTTTTAGATTTTTATTTTTAGATAATTATTGATTCACAAACAGTTTTAATAAACAGTAGAGGTAGATTGTATGTACTCCTCCCCTAGTTTTCCCAGTGACGATATATAATTAGGGTACAATATCACAAGAAAATTGAAAAGCAATTTTATTTAGAGTTCACCGGTTTTATACGTATACATTGCTTCCATGTGGGGATTTAGTTCTGTGCAGATTTTGGTAATTGTCACCAAGAGAGGATTCTGGGAATTCTCACCCCAATAAACCCTGTACTATTTCTTTCTTTCTTTCTTTCCAGTCACTTCCTTCCCTCTCCTGATGCGCTCAGCCCCTGGGAACCCTAATTCATTTTGCACTGTTATAATTTTGTCATCAAGGATGTTTCACTAAAAAAAACAACAATGTATACTTTTTGATATTGTATTTTTTCATTTAGTGCAATTCCCCTGATACCTACCCAAGTTGTATGTAAGTGATCATCCCTCTCTGTCATTCAGCAACATTGTGTGGGGTGGACTTAGGTCAGTTTAGCCATTTCCTCTGGAATGAATATCCAGGAGTGCCATTTCTGGGTGGTATACTAAATTCATGCTTTGTATTCCCAGAAACTGGCAAAACCCTTTCCAGAGTGGCTGTACCATTTTACCTTCCACCGGCAGTGTATGAATGATACATTTTTCTCCATGATCTGGTCAATATTTAGTGTCGTCTTTTATTCATCTCAACCTGCTTTTAAAGAATATTGCAGCCAACTTGGTAGATACACAATTATAGATATATAATAGATATATAATAATATCTCATTAGGATCTTAATTTGTATTGCCCTAACAGTCAATGATGTTGAATATCTTTCACGTATAATTTGATATCGTTTTCTATGAAATGTCTTTTGCCCATGTTGCTGATTATTAGGAGGTTTTTTTTTGTTTTGTTTATCTTAATTTTTTTTTTTTTTTACATTTTAAAAAATGTATTGTAAGCACAAGTCTTTCATGGAATGTATATCATATAAATATTTCCTCCCAATATGCAGCTTTCTGTGCAACTCTTCACAGTGACTTGGACAGAACAAGTCAGAATTTAGAGCAATTCTAATATTTAGTGACTAAAATGCTGTCCCATTTCTTTAAACGAGTTACCATACTTATTCTTTAACAAGTAAAAAAAAAAGTGTTTATGGTACAGGCATTTAAAATTTAATCCAAGCATTTTAAAAGTTACCTTTCTAAAAGTAGACAAGTATGTTATACTCTAGAATTAGGAACTTTGAAACTGGCTTTCATAGATCGAGAGTGAATTTTCGCTTGTGTTGTTCTGTAGGTTCAGTGGCCACCGCGTGCCGTGACCCAGGAATTCCCATGAATGGGACTCGAAATGGTGACGGAAGAGAACCTGGGGACACTGTTGTGTTTCAATGTGACCCTGGATATGAACTTCAAGGACAAGAAAGAATAACCTGCATTCAGGTAGAAAATCGATACTTCTGGCAGCCCAGCCCACCAGTCTGTATAGGTATGATCAAAGAACCATTCAAGTTTATTTATCTAAACATAAAAAGTGGTTAAAAACTTGTATTGATATTAAAAGAACTCCATTCTGGAATAAATTCTGTATGGGAGTCTAGGGTTTGAAAGGATTGCAAAATTCCCAAAATGTACAAACTTACAAAGAATTACAAATTATTTTTGTAGAATAAGGGTCTATAATTTCATTAGATTTTTACTAAGAGCCGTAAAGAGTTAGGAAGCAAAGCTCTTGAAAAATTCTGATCATTCTTTGTGACATAAATGCAGTGTTCCATGGCATTAAAAATTTAGAGAAGATTCAGACTGTATATTTAATATACCCATATTGCTCTTTCCTTTATGATGGTTATTTTTAAGGGAGAAAATTTATTTACTGTTATTTATTTACAAAATGTGACAGAGTTTCAAAGTTTTGGTTTCCAAGTAATTCATGTATTGCAAAAAAAGATCAGAAAATTAGGACACAAATTATTTCAGCACTAGCTCTAAGAAAGAAAGAATATACCACTTTTGGGAGAAAATCTACTATACAATTAATTAAGATTTACCATAAACTTGTGTTCAGGTAGTTTAGTGTCAGCTTCATCTTGAATCAGAATACATTTTGAATAATTTTCTTTTATCTACTGAAAATTTTATTTACGTATTTATTTAGTATACTTCAAGCAACTTCAGAGCTGATTCCATTTTTCATTGTACTTCTCACAGCATGCAATTAATTTGTATTTACAACTGTACTCAAAAAAAGCAGGGGAGATAACTTAAGAAAGTTTTACAAAGAAAAAGAAATTAGGAAAAAATTTGTGTCTGTGTCAAGGTTCTCATATGTTTATACCTCACTGAACCCTAAAAAATTCCAGTTAAAATCTACTCTCTAATTAATTGAAATTAGACTGCATTTCTCACAAGGAGAATCTTTTATAAAAACAAAATTATAAAATACCTCAGAACTGCTACTGCTTTGTGATTCTTAAAGCTGAATAATATGGCTTATTAGGATTATCAGAAGGGCTGTTTTATGTCAATTTTTCTAATAGAATCCTAAAACACTAGATATATTTGTACTAAAATTATAGAAAACACTAAAATCCCAACTGCAAAAGAGTCCTGAGATTGCCAGTTATAAAATTCTATTTATAGACAACTACATACTTTAGCCACCAAAGCCTAATTCTATGGGAGAAAAAAGCTGAGCGCTAAATATTACTTAAATGGAGCAGGTTGTGGAAAGTTTCTGTATGGATTATGGTGCTGTGTATTATTTTTTGGTAAGGAAAGATAGCTTGAGGAAAAGATATGCATTAGAGCTTCTCTAGTGAGGAAAATAACCTTAAAAAAGTGTGAAAAATTGCTAAGCCTGCAGAAAGCTTGACCTCTGAAACTGATAAGAAAGAACTCCATGATTGGAAATACTGTGCTAAAGATTAAACCCTGAACTTTTTAGAAACTCCATAAGTCTGTGTCTCAGACCCTACAGCATAAAGCATTTTCCTTGCATGTACAAGTAGTCCGCCTGATAGCAAGTACCAAGCAGAAGCACATCATCTTTAGAGAGCTAATAGGATTCATTGCAGCTAAATTGACAGTGTGAAGATTACTTTGACATTGCCAGAGGCAAAGTAGCAGCACTCAATATGAAGGTAAATAACAAAGACATTAGTGTGGGTGGGTGGCTGAGAAATACAGGACACCAGCGAAACTGAATTGGGAAAAAATTAAGAAGACTGTAAAGCATTTATCAATGACTTCGGCTCATATAACTGCTCCACAAGAAACTACACTCACAAATCATCCTTGCTGAAATTCTATGAAAACTAACCGAACATTTAACTCATGAAGTTTTCTGACTTTTATTTTCGATGTTTGATGAAGGTGTATATAAAAAAATCCAAATACTTCTTAAAATAGTGTAAATTTACTTACTGGTTGTTTAGGACTTAAAAATGTAAAATAACATTTCTGCCTGGATTATTGAATTTTTTAGAGGTATTTGGAAAATCTTCATAAGTAATTTAAATAATAAAATAAAAAGTATTTTAAGGAATCTTATGCTTCAATGCAAGTATAATCATATAATATCTAATAAGACACTTAAAATACGTGTAATGAATTTTCCAATATTTTGAATGATTCAAGATATATATTAAGAGATATATGTATTGATATATATGAATGTCTATATAAAATTTCTAACAATAGAAAAATTAATGTTGGTACTGGAAAATAAGGAAAATTAAAATGAAATTGTTCCCTCGTTATTCCCCAAATTGCACTTAATTCTACCAGTCTGGCACCTGAAAAGAATCTTGTGAAATATTTGCCATTATTCCACTCTTTTATGTATAATGTGTACATATTTCTGTGATATTATTCATATTTTCATGTATTTTTTTCACATTCCCATGTGATTTTTAAAACACCTAAGACAAGGTAACCTATAATTTGTGTGAGAACATGTAGCTTCAAATTAAATTGCACATTTATGTAGTCATCTTCACTATTTCATAATCAATATAAAGAACTAGCAATCAACATTTATTCATATACAATAAGCTAAATATATTCATCTATTCATGTGCCAAATTTTTCATTTATTTAAACACAGTAATGCCATCTTCTAAAACATCATCATAACTCTCCAAACCCTGAATTCCAGCCTAAATTTCTTGCAGCTCCCTTTCCTGCAGTACCATTGGCTTTAATCTCTCATGTCCAGCAAATAGAGTTCTCCTTAAATGAGCACTTCTTGTCTATGTACCCTGCTCCTAGTGCTTTGGCAACAGAGCCATCAGTGATTTTATCCCATGAATTCTTCATCTCTTGTTACAACCTCTTGCAGATTAGGCTTTACACAGTTGCTTTTAAAGCAAACATTAACTAAAGACTTATGAGACAAGAGTAACAGCAAAACCAATGATAGTTAAAAATAGTGGTCCGCACCAAAGCAATGAAAAATTGCAGGCACAAAAATGCACAAGTTTCATTTCATATGTGTGCTTCTAAATATGTGCATCACAAGACACAATATATTGGATTATGAAAATTCACGGTAGATACACCATGTCTATTCATAATCAGGCTCACACAGTTCATGTACCGTGTCTGTACTCTGATTGGTCATTCAGCAGTAAGTATCAAGTTTCTCTGGTTACACAAGTGTTTACCTGTAGTCCAAATGTGCCCACTTGGGTATTTACAAATATTATAATTTGTATTATCATTGAAGCATTGACATCAATAATAGTATTTATGCAATTATATATTTATATTATGATTTTATACTTCTATACATCCATCATGTGTTGAATAGACATACCAAACGAGTCTATTTGGTTGACAGTGTTAACTATGACTCATTTAGAGTAGGGCTTATATTAAGCATGGTGAAATATCACACTAGTGCTTATTTTCTATTCAGACTCTATTAGGAAAATATGGTATGTAGATTGCTGAATTCGAGTCATAAATAACATGTAAATAACAGTCTTTAGCTTACATATTAGCAGAGAATCCTGACACATGAATGGAATATTATCTTGCTATAGAAGACAAGAGAAATGAAGCTAAGCAGAAGTTGCTCTGGATTCCAGGAGAGAGTGAAAAAAATTCAAGCTTAGCCTATGTTAGGCTTTTCCAGAAAATCTTCCTGAAATTTAAAATATGAGTAAAGCTGGGTACATACAAAAGGGGGGAAAAAGGAATTTCATAAAAATGTCATAAAAGTATTATGAACTACAGGCCCTTTGATAGTGTTTGAATGTGATGTATGTGTATAAAATAATGGGTGAGGAGAAGGGAACGATAACAGCTGCCGATAAAATCTGCACCCAAGTTGAGTGCAGATTTTCATTCATCTCTTTTGCAATCCAGCAAAATGCAAAGAACCACAGAATTTCATGCACAGGCACAGTGTGATTTTCAATGGAGAAGCAAATTGGCAGGAAGTAGGTTTCATCAGAAGAAGACATTGTAGTCATCCTGCAGAGAGGTGAGAGTCAATTAGACCACGAAATATGGTGGAAAAGCGAGGCCAGGACACGTAGAAAACATGTTTATGAGGTAGAGTCTTGGCAGGACTTCTCCACAGACTGTACAAGATTACAGTGAAGACAAGGGAGACCGATTTGGGAACATAGGAAGGTGACAGTATTAACCCACATTACAGGGACACTGGAGGAGAAGCAGGTTCCAGGTGAGCTTGAGTGGTGTTCTGAATGTTCTGTTTGATGTACCGAGAGACTGCAGAGTGCACTTGGGCTTATGGTTTAGAACGCTCCAGAGATATTTGCAGGAGACAGGAAAGGGAGTGATCTGTGTATAAAACAAGGAAAGAGAAAGTCATAAATTTTGAAGTAGTCAACAAGGAAAAATGTAACAGAATGAATATTAGGAGAAATAGGTAAAGGACTCAGGAGAATGCCAAAGTTATAAAATGAATGAAAGAAGGGTTTGACAGTAAGACTGAGCTGTGGACAAATCCTCCAAAAGAAAACTAAAGGTTGAATTCCAGAGAATAACACAGTGATTATTAGGTAAAAGTTAACAAGTGAGAATGATTATGGATTTGAAAAAAAGCCCAAAAAGAAAAAACAAGTCTCTGTTATATTTGTGTCCTTTATAAAAGTTATTTATAAAGGAACTACCAGTTGTTAGCTTTGAGTGACATAAGTTTGAGGGAGATACCAAAGAATGAGAAGAAAACCACAGAAAACACAAAAAAGGAGCATGTGAGTGTACGTGTGTGTGTGTGTGTGAGTACGTGTGTGTGTGTGTGTGTGTGTGTGTGTGTGTGTGTGTCCATGCTTGGGTTCCCTACTGTTCTTGCCACTGGGAATATCTTTATCTCCCTGTTTTCTTAAGCTGCCACCTCTGTGCAAAACATTATTTCCTAAACGTAACTGTATTTGACATAGTTCAAAAATAATCCCTTAACAAATCTATTTTCTAAATTTCACTGGCAAGTTTTTAACCTTTCCACTGAAAAGTTACAGACACTTTCATTTAGACTACAATAATAATTAGTAACTGCCTGTTTGCATTGCCAGCGCGTTTTAGGAATATACTATAATCACGTTCAGTATAGAGTGTTGTAAAGTACTCTGGGTGCTCAGATAATTATCGTTTCTCATTAACTATTATCAAAGCTTCTTCCTTCATAAATATCACAAAAGGTACCAAGGAAGATATGAAAATGAGCCAAATATCCTGTGTTATATTGTTCCATTTATTAGTGGTTATTTTTTTGTCTTGTATTTTTTCCTCATTTTTTCCAGTAACCTTCAGGGTTTATAGTAACCACGGGAAATCATTTTTATATCTCTTCTCAATGGTTTTCTCTCACACGAAAAAAAAAAAAAAAAACAGCAATAGAGAGACCCTTTATGTAAAAATATAAGTTTTTCTTATTTTCAGAGACTAGAAAAGCAGCAAATTCAGTAGATCCGTGTATATGCCATGTAATCAATATGCTGATGGTCTTCCTTGAAAAATTTTACAGTATTTAATCGTTTAGTACTCACAGAAGCCAGGTCTGTGGAATGTCTCATAAACCTTCCCACAGAAATGTTTTCACAAATGTATTGATTGCTAATGAATTTCATTAATCTCTTAAGGGATTTTGTTTGCTTCTTTAAATTAAAGCACCGTGTGGAGGCAATTTAACAGGATCTTCAGGCTTTATTCTTTCACCCAACTTCCCGCATCCCTATCCGCACAGCAGGGACTGTGACTGGACCATCGGGGTCAATGCTGACTACGTCATCTCCCTGGCCTTTATCAGGTGGGTTCTTACACCTGCCACCTTTGAATCGTCTTTTTGGTTATTTGCTTTAGTACTTGTTCTAGGCAAAAGTTTTATTTCTCTATGTGGCGTCTTCATTATATTGTTGATAATCTCAATACTAATATTTTGCAATTAACAATTGGCAAAGCCTTCAATAATAATGTAGACAGTTCGGAAGGACTTAGGTCAGAATCTTTATCCCCTTCCCAGTGCAGGGGAAACTCCTTAGGGTTCCGGTGGTTGATTGGCTCTCATGAAGTTTGATCTCTTTATAACCTTTCCTCCCTCTCTGCACTTACTGCTTCAAAAATTTCATTTTTTCCTAAGCTCCGAGATTAAAAGGTCAGCACATCAGAACTGTTTCTCCCATATCTGCACCACTCAAAAGACTTTCCGCGACTTTGGAAACCCCTTGTAGCACCCACCACCTCTGGACTCAGAAGACATATTTCTAGTAACTTTTCTTTCTGGCAGTCTCTTTAACTAAGCCTGACAGAGTACGCTTTAATAGGTCATTTTTGAATGGTTTACCAGCAGATCAGGTCCCAGGGTAGAACTTACCTTTAGTGTTCCAAAGTTTACATTTGTTGTTTCTCTGTAAACTGAAGCATAAAGCTTAGACAGCACGAATAATAATAATAATAATTTTAAAAAGCAGCTTGTGTGGGAAAGAAAGCACCATCACAGCTGTTACCATAGGTAAATTGTTTAGTTGAGTGAATCTCTTTTTCTCGTATGAAGTCAACATGATAAAATGGAATCTCTTTCCCTTAATGGAAGAGGCTGATGATTTTCAGTGGAACAGGTTGGTGATTTAGCACACTGGTAGAGCATTTGCTTGGCATGTGCAAAGCCCTGATTTTGAACTCTAACACAGCAAATGGAAGAAAAGATTTTAATGCGAAATAATAAGCAAAATGTTTGCTGAGTAAGAATTATGCTAATTTTAATAAAGTTTGATGTCATCAGTAAGTTGACTCCAAATGACAACTCTTTTTTTCTTGTTTCCAGTGGGTTAAACTTGCTTGGTTTTTATGTAAAATATTAAGCTTACACCATTGAAGACTTTCTAATCTATTGAAGTTAAATTTATTTATTTATTTTTGTCTTTTTATCAGTACCGAGGATCAAACTCAGGACTGCCTGCTTGCAAGGCAGGCGCTTATACCGCTGAGCTAAATCCCCAGCCCCTTGAAGTTAAATTTTAACAAAGTAAAAGTAACTCAGACTGTCGAAAATTTAGCAAAAGTGTAATTATATGGAATTTTTTTTCTACAATTTCAAGTGATACACTGCTAACTGATAATACCAGGCAGCCCGCAACAATAATATTCTTAGTTATAGACCAGGACCTGGTGTCAGAAACTTTCTGAAGCAAATACTATATTATTTTGATTTTTACAGTTGACAAGATGGGAGTATAGACATTGAAAGATCTGTGTGTTTGCCATAGGATTTGGCTCACTTATAAAATAATGAAAGAGTTATTAACTTGGTTAACTTGGAGATAGACAGCTATTGCATGGAGTGCTTGATGCAAATTTGATTTCCATCCCTCTCATTGATTATGTGACCTTAGGAAGATAACTTTTCAAGGCCTTGGTAAACTCTTTGGTAAAGTGAAAAATCCTAATTCCTCCCTTAATCAGTACTACATGATTACTGGTAAGACCAAGTTTCTATTTCTGAAAATGCCTTGAAAAGCATACTGTACTACAAAGTGCACCGTCCTTCCAGTTTTGTGGGAAAATAATTACTATTAAGATTCTAAAATGTCGTACAGAAAGACTTTTAGTTTTGTTTTTATTATCAAACAAGCTATCAGTTAACATTTCACTATATTTTAAGATAAATTAGAAACTAGAAATATATTTCTTGCATTCTATTACTAAACAGGTCTTGAGATTTCCAAGCATAATGCTAGTTTATCACTGAGAAAGCACTCATTTACACTGATCTTCCCAACAGTGAGCTAGACAAGAAAGTTCTATTGACCATCAAATCTTAATTTCTTAAACAGATAAGAATAGAACGTTATGTTATCCTATAAGCAAAGTAATAAATAGTAAAATAAGCCTTCCTCATCTCATTTTTGCTATATGATATCAACAGCTACCAAAATTCAGACCTCAAGTGTACTGACAAATTTTAAGATAAATTACTTTGGACGTGGAAAGTTACTGAAAAAAATTAAAACAAGCTATAATACTGTGATATTTCCTTAATTTTCTCATATTTTAGGAAGACTTAGATATAAAAAACTCAGTATCTGCTGTACTGGCCTACTCTTTCTTCATGACCATTTACACACAAATATGCTGAGTGGCGAATCCATCTTTCCTACAGGGCCACACAGGAAAGTCAACAGTAGCTGTAGTAACTTAATTTCTGAGTGTCCTATAGATTTGCAAATAACTTTCACCTAACAAACCACTTGCTAGGAAAAAAGATGACAAAACCACAAGCAATTCATCTGGGATGCATGCTTGAAAATGTCAAGCTTTACTGGTTTCATTTTATATTATGAACTGGTTAACTTTTCTTAATAACCCAAAATGAGTCCCATTCTTTCTATTGTGTTTGTCTGTTACAGAATTAAGTTGGTTATATACAGGTCAATTCATTGCCTGCCTCCTACCCTTGAAGTATTTAGGTATCATTACTAATATGAGATAACTCTTATAATTTTGAATGCTACAACAAGTTTATTATGGAAATTTTGCAATATTTAAAATTTTGCTTTGAATTATTTGCATATTAAAGGGCATTTTGTGCAATATTATTTAATTTTTGTTATGTATTAGTATGATCTCTCCTACATTATGTTTCCAAAGAAAATATATATTCTTTCAGGTAAAAGAATACCTAATACAATGTATAGTGCTTCACTGAGTAATTTAGAAATAAATTTGTATTTTATTTCAACGTTTGTTTGAATCTGATTTGTAGAGTTGAATTTAAAGAAACCAAAATTCTCATAATATTGAAATGCTCTAACAACATTATAACACGGAAAAATCAAAACAAAGAAAAAGAAGTTGCATTTGCATGGTATAAATTCATGGACTAAAACTTAAAAATAGATGTACATAATGGAATAGAAGCAAGATTTCAACTTCTCATTCCAAATTTGCTGAACTCTGCCTTACTTTTTCTTACATTCCTTACTGTTTCTTTTATCCCTTTCTAATAAACTGTCAATGTAGAAGTTTTTTAAAATATCAAGGTTTTGCTTTCTGTTTTTCACGCTCAGTTTGACACATTCAGACAAGGTTTCCTATTATTTTTGACAGGTTCTAGTATCACTTTAAATCACTAAGTATATAATTATATGACTATTATAGTTAATGTTCTAATAAAGATAGTAATTATTTTATTTTTCTCTGTCTCCTATTTTTCCCTTAGTTTTAGCATAGAACCAAACTATGACTTCCTCTATATATATGATGGACCAGACAGTAATAGTCCACTGATTGGAAGTTTTCAAGACAGCAAGTTACCAGAGAGAATAGAGAGCAGCTCGAACACTATGCATCTGGCTTTCCGCAGTGATGGATCTGTTAGCTACACTGGATTTCATTTAGAATACAAAGGTAAATACAAGCATCCAACTGTACCATTGTGATTTAAATTGTGAGTATTTTGTAACAAAGATGGCTTCATGGTGGTGGCTGTCAGCATGAGTTACATTCATTTTCTTATAATATGCATTTTTAATACAGAGTTTGTACAATTCACCTCATAAAAGAGCTCTCCCATTGCAGACTTTTACTATCAATGAAGAGGAAATTAGCATTTCCCTAATTGCTACCAAAGGAAATGTATCAGGCAAACAAATTAGCAATTAGATACTCCTGTAGTTGGTTAAAGCTACAACGCAAAACACAAATTTCATTTTTGGAAACAGAAATTTCACTTAAATACTTTATTCAGGCACCATTTTCAATTAGAAGGAAAATACATACATCAGATATATTTCAGAAAATGTTTCCAAATATTAAGGTCTGTCACCATTCAAATAGGGTGGACAAAAGGCTGTGGAAATTGTGTCACACAATGTTTCTGCAAGTATTTAAATAAATTATATTTAAAAGCCTATGAATTTTTCTTAATTGTACTGTCACAACTTCAAAGATTTCAATATTTTTATTTATATAAAAAAATTCAAAACTAACACATGAAAACTTAAAACATGTACCTATGTATGGAATACCAGGTAAGGCTTTGGTATATATATATATATATATATATAGAGAGAGAGAGAGAGAGAGAGATTTAGAGATATATTAGTGTAATAATTAATGCTAACCATATTTAACTACTCAAATATTTATCATTTTCTCATGTGGAAAATGTTTAAAATCCTTTTCTTTAGTTTCTTACATCGTACATCATCATTATCTATAGTCACCTACTGTGCATTAACCCAGCAGACCCTCTCCAACCTCTGCGTTCAACCTCTAAAATACACAAATAAAGATTATAAATTTTACCATCAATGCTTATAGAAACATATTTAGATCTTAGTTTTATAATTTGAAATATATTTATTGATAATTGATTTCATATATACTGAGAATTCACATTACGTTTTTAACTGAATTCTATAAATAAATATTTCAGATTTGTTAATTTTATTTTATTTTCCATTTTTATTTTTGAACTGGAGACTGAACTCACGACCTCGTGCTTGCCAGGAAGATGCTGTGCCACTGAGCTATATTCCCAGTCCTTCCTTTACTTTTAATAATCAAAATTATATAAGATTTAAAAATTCAAAGTATCCACCAACCAATTTGAAAAACCTTAATTTTGCTCTTTTTTGCTACATGCACAATTAAGCTCTTTTTGTATTTGCCATGGGAGTGGGTTTTTTTCTCTTTAGGGCTGTCATAAGAGTTTAAGATAAATTCCCCAACAATGTATGGCATTAATCAAGGAAGATTTTTTAAGGAAAGAGAAAACTCACAAGTTACCAAGTCACAGACACCCAGTCCTCGGATATCTCCACCGTGACTTGGAAGTGTATGACAGGGCCAAGATACTGGCTGGCTGTGGACACAGCACAGCTTTCACTGCAGTGGAAACCCTCAGCCCTCTTTGAATCTCTCGCCTCACGGGGCATGTTAAGAGAACAGACTGATCAGTGAAAGGATGCACAGACTGGTTGGCAGAGTGAATGAGGATTCAGTGTGTAGGCTCTTTATTGAACTTGTCTGCTAGTGCTAGACTTGCTGACCCAGAAGAAGCTGGAGAGTGCTTAGAGCCTGGGGCTGGAGCTGATGGAGCCAGCGGTTTCATGTCTCAGTGAGCCTGTGTATCATCCTGCTCGCTCAACTTGGGATGTGCACCTCGACCCAGACTCGAATGCAGCTGCCTGACTACATAGAAAAACTCGTAATGAGCAATCTTGGAAATTTTCAGACATTCTTGTTCATGTATGCAGACATGTGCGCATCGTTTGTACTATTTTAAGACAACTTTGTATTTTAACATGTACAGTATATATTCTTCTGAAAGTTGCTCACATTGTTTTTGAAATTTATGATTCTTAGCCACAAGTAGCTTTAGATTTAAATTTCTTTAAGGTAGTCTACCATAGGATTGTATTAGTTAATTTATAAGCTTTCCTGCTGGTGATTACTTAAGTTGTTCAACATACTTAATTCTAAAAATGAAATAAGATAGACAGTCTTTTATATTTTTTTCTTATAAGAATGATATCACTAGGTAAAAGGGTATGAACTCCTTCAACTGAAATCTACATTGCAAAGTTATTCTCTAAAGAAATAATACCTATTTATACTCAACCACAGGGGATAAAAGTTTTTCAAACTCCAGTTTTGAAAATCCAGTGCTTTTGTCAAATTTGAAAGTTACTGATCTTACTTTTGCTAAATGGTATCTCATAGTCAATTTTTATTACCTTTTTAAAAATTAAATGAAGCATCCTTTCTCTAATTTACATATTGATGTTTCCTTATTGTTAACTGAATATTCCTAATACATCACATTTTCTAATTTTTTAAATTCATTTTTAGTACTTATAAAATAATGCAAGTGCTCTGGATATGAATACTTTGTTATTTATGCTTTATTGAATTTTTTACCACCATCTTTGGCAAATAGCTACAATTTATTTCTGATTTTTTCTGGTATACAAATTTTAAAAATCATGACATTCAATGCTTTATTTTCTTAGTGAAAGGTCCTTTTTGTGTACTCTTCCTCATTATAGTCTCATAAAGATATTTTCCTAAATTGTTTTCCAAAGTTTGAAAGCTTTGCTTTTCATGTTTTATGTTCTGTGCAGTTTATTTCTTTGCTAGGAATCTAATATTTTTCCATGAGCATAATCAACTACCTTAACATCATTTATCAACAGGTAGTACTATTTCTGTCAAATGTCAAGTTCTTCTATCTGTCTCTGAATTTTTTATTCTATTCCACTGGCCTATTTATTTATTTATTTATTTATTTATTTATTTATTTTAACCTCCAGGCCAAGACTCTGATGAAAACTGTTATCATAGTTTTCAGATAAGCCATGAATGTAAGGAAATTAAGTGCAACACTCTCTTCTTCAAACTTCTCTTGAGTGTCTATAACCCTTTTGAAATTCATTTAAATTTTAAAATTAAGCTAATTCTGACTGCTAAATTGACTGGGACTGCACTGTTTTATTGGTAGATTGATTTATGACGTTTAACCCTCCCATCCATTAATGTCTCAGGGCTCTCAGTTTACTCATGTTTTCTTTGATGCTTATTATTAGTAATTTATAATTTCCATTGTAATATATTCCTCGTTTTAATCTTAAATGTCTTATACTTTGCATTGTTTTTAAGTGAAACATTTATTATTGGATTTCCTAGTTATTGTGAATAAGGGCACAGTTTAACTTTTGAAATTCCTCAATATCTTACAAAGTTAATTAGCACTTCCTTTAAGATAATAATTTCTTTGAAACATTTTTTGAATTGTTTGTGTAGAGACATTTCTGTTTCTTTTAATCTTATGTACTTCTCTTTGTTTTAACTTATTAAATGTTTTGGATAGAAACTTCAGTATTATTTCAAATAGAAGCAGTGAAAGCCATCAACCTTGTATCACTGATACTTAAAAGGACACATTTAACATTTAAATTATAAGTATGGCGATTGCGCTTGATAGCGAAAAATGTTAATAAGGAGCTAACATATTGAGCTCTTATTGTATTGAGGTATATTTGAAGTAATTTAAATAAAAGCAATCATTTACATCCATGAGTGAACAATTTTCAACACAAATGTAGCAATTAACTTTTTGGTTGCTACTAACAGCATCCAACAACCAAAGCTTACAGCAGGACAAGTTTCAGCTCAGTTTTAGTCCATGACTAGCCAGCTTCAAGGCAGAGTTTTCATGGGGAAAGGAAGTAGAAGAAGAAAGCTGCTAAGATCCTGGTGGCCAAGAAGCAGAGAGGGAAACAGTGCCACATCAGAAGGGGCTAGTGATAAGAAAAAAAAGGAAAAAGAAATCAAGGACATGCCTTCAGGACCCAAGCACACCAAACAGCATGCCTTTTACTAACATTTGAGACATTACTGACTCCAGTGACTTCATATATATCAGGATTAATGATTACAATTGATCCTTGGTCAACTTCACATGCAAACATGTCTCCTGAAGTCATACACAATATCAAAGAAAAAAAGCAAATTCATAATTTTGCCTAAGATTGTACAACTGAAACATCAATATTCCATTCCCCAAGCCTCAACAGTGCAAGCATTTTTCAAAAGTATAATTCTCTTCAGAGATCTTTCAAGACAAACTCAACTGTGAACCTCTATAAAAATAGAAAACAACTTACATAGTCTTAAAGTACAATGGCACAGGGTAAACATTCACATTCCAAGAGGGAGGACTAAGAAATTGGAAAGGATTCATTGAATCCAAAGCACTGAGTAGTAAAATGTGAGCTCTAAAATATTTAGATATCCCCATCTCTAAGGCTGTATCAGTTGACCTCTCTCTTGGACTGGCTTCATTCACAACTTGCGGTTTTCCTCAGTTAACATTCCAGCTCCTTAGAGTCTCTACTGCACATTTGGCTTCATACCTACAGCTTCCTGTGATGCCCTGTTAGGGTCTCCTTGCCTAGCCTTCCGGTCCTTCTTTTAAAATCCTGGTGGAAGCCTCTTTGACCCTGTGACTTTTGCATTCTGCATGCTGTTACAACTAGCATCACAGGGATGACATCATGGTGTGCTGTCAGTGGAAGCACTGTCTAGACCCTCTAGGACAATGGCTAACGTGTCTGGATGGCTAACCATGGTCAAATCAATTCTAGGGAAACAATTGCCTACAAGCCCTCTTTTGAGGAAGGGTCCAAAGTGCTTTCCTCAAAGGAAAGTTTGACAGTTTTTGCACACTTGAGTCTGCAATTGATTGAATATTGCTTATATCTGAGATGTCCTCAAGGTACCCTTCTACTTGTCCCTGTACAAAGTACTTAGTTTCTTTTTTAATGGCTCTCACCTCTTTAGCAACCACACTTCTGTTGGCCTTGGCTTCACATGTAGTTCTTTCTATGCCAAAATTTAAGTTTTACAAATTTTTCTGCTTCATATTTTGTACCCAGTTCTCACTATAACTCTGCAGCTATCAGTAGAAAATTCTTGCAGTAGCAATATTGATAAATTTGTTAACCATGGTTTCCCTTTCCTCAAAAAGCAGACTGTTTTGCATTAGTTTCAAAGACATACTATTGCAACCTTGTGGAAGATTTTAAAGAAGGAAAAGCAAAATTTGCAAAAGATGAGTATTAGGGAGAGAACTTTGGCAAAAAGACTAATCCTTTTAAAGAATACTTTCAATCCTTCCTTTTCATCAAGGAAAATAGTTCAGTTTCAGGTTGCTTTCCTGAAAATATTGCTATGTTACTTGCTTACTTAAGAAAAGACTCAATGTGAGGTTTTGTTCTTAAACATAAACGAGTTGACCTGTACCACTAAAGCCCTATTCTTAATGACCAAATTTAGTAATCACCCTGCTGCTTCTTTCCTGGAAACACTGTTTTCTGAATATTTTATCTAGAAAGAGTTCCAATTTTCCCAGAGTATTCATGAAGGCTTGATTCTAAGACTTTGTGTGGATACCAAAATCCTTCGATGCTCAAATTCCTTGTACAAAAGTGTAATTCCAACATTACCTGGTAGGCACATCTTCTCATATACTTAAAGCATCTCTAGATTATTTATAATAACCAGTACAGTATAAATGGTATGTAAATAGTTGTTATACTGTATCATTTAGGGAACTATGTTCAAGAAAGTATGGGAAAGTTCTGTAAATGTTCAATACGGATGCCAACTTCTTCAGCCTAACTACCTACTACACCAATGAGATGCAAAGTGAATAACATTGGAACAATGCTGGAAAGCCACGAAGAAAGGCTCAGTGAAAGCTCAGGGGCTACTGCAGGGTGTGAGAATCAATTCATAGTCATGGCTTCCGTGTGGTCCTCAGTGTGCAGTAAACTCAGGTCTTCTTTTGTAAAACATCCTGGGATTTTTTTTATTTGATTATTATTGTCCTATTTTCAATTGAACCCATGAATGTGAAACTCATGAGTACAAAGAATGGACTCTTTGGTTTGAGAAGCAATTTTTAAAGTGTGAGTCTACATCAAATGAAAAATATTTGAATGTGTGTATGTGCATATGTGTGTGTGTGTGTGTGTGTGTGTGTGTGTGTGTGTGTGTGTGCTTGTGCTGAGCAGAAGAGTAAATCATTTAGCTTTGATTTCAAACCTGGGAGTTGAATTTATTCAGTTACATACCCCAGCACATTGCCTTCTCTTCATGCTTTCTTTTCTCTCTTTCATCCAACTAGTTCTTTATTCTCAATGCTCATTTTATTTATTTTTAGTTTTTGTGTTTATTTGCTATTTCTATATCTTTTTTAGAGGAGGAAAAAAAGACAAACCATAAAACCAAGTTATAAAATAGGTTAGTAGGACAGTTACAATATTTGCCACAGCCAGCTTCTCTTTGTTCCTTGAAAAGAATGCTTCGTGCTAATATTGTTTAGACGGCTCTCAGGCCTACATCCTGGCTCTGAATAACTACTATGCAGCAATGCTGATTTTAGTTGCCACTCTTCTGGGCATTTCCTGAGTGCCTCCCCCTAGGCAGCATTCCTCACAGTTATTTGAATTTATTTGATATAATTCTTTTCTCTGTAAACTATAAGCAACATGAGAGACAGAATATTTTCTGATGCTTCACTGTTCTATTTCTAGTTAGTCACTTATAATTATTGAAAGAAAGAAAGAAAGAAAGAAAGAAAGAAAGAAAGAAAGAAAGAAAGAAAGAAAACAAAGAAAAGGGACCTTCTGCATTCCTCTGATGTTCTGTTTTGATCATTTAAATGTTTGACTCCACCATTTATTTTTTACTTGATTTGGGAGAAATTATATATTGTTATGCCTAAATAACAGATATTTCATTATTTCTTATTAGTGTAGAGACTTCTTGCAAACTTCTGTGAACTGTGAACTGAAGAGATATATCCTTAGTGTTGTAATCAGCTGGGCCTTGTTATAATACGTTTTGTCATACCAAACACCAAATTGTTGACATAAATTTTGATGGACCCACAAATGCACTCACCAAAAGCTGGTGTGGTGGCACACTCCTGTAATCCTAGCACTTGGGAGACAGAGGCAGAAAATTGTTTGCAGATATGAGACCAACATGGGCCATAAAGTGAGCCCAAAGCCAGCCTGAACTGCATAGCAAGACTCTGTCTCAAAAAGAAAAAGGAAAAAAAACAAAAACAAAAAACAAAAGCATTCACCCATTCTCCTTCACTTCTGACTTCCCACTAATATAGAATAAATTTGACATAGAAAAAAAATTTTTATTTTGAATGTATTCATTATGCTATTAAAATAATTGTACTGCATGATAGGTTCCTTATATACACATACTTATTATATCTTAAGTAATCTTTAATTATCATAATAAAATGGAAATAATCTCACAGTATTACCCATCTATTTACAAAATATGTCAGTGCCTTTCACAAATTAAATAATATAATCTATGTCTCTACAGAGTTTTGAAGTGTTCTGCTTGTCTCTTGGTCACTCTCTATCTTTACAGCAGATTTATTTGTTGTGAATGAGTATCTGTACTGCTGGCTTTGAAAGTATTTAGTATTGGTGTAAACTATCTGGCCGAGAAGAACATGGTTTGGATTTTATAAGGTTTTTGTATTTATAATGGGAGATACTTCTGATTGAAACAGACTCAGGAAAGTAGGTTTAGGGCAGAGAAACAGGGTTTGTTATATTCTTCTTAGTAGTAAAATGCACTGTTAGCAACACAAACAGCAGAATAATTTTTAAATTCAGTAACAGAAAATGAGTATACTCACTCCTGTGTGAAAAGATGCTTATTATAAATAAATAAATAATACAGAAGGCTCTGCTTCTTTTCCAAAGTAATTTTTTAAAGTACTTAGGAATGAATTACAGCAAATAATGACAATAAATTCTAGCACTGAGTAACTGTGCTCAGAGACTTATTTTAATGAGGATACCTGTTACTAATCAGTATGTTAACAAAACTGCATGTGGAGTTAAGGGCTATTTGATTAGTTGAGTTCTCAACAGAGAGAAAAAGTGTTGGTGCTTTCTCTTCTAGTTTAAAAGAAGAAATTAATATATCCTAAAAGTTTCAGTAAAGTAGTATTTTGAAGCAATTGATATCACATCTCATGGCTTTACAGCAAAACTGCGGGAGTCCTGCTTTGATCCAGGCAACATAATGAATGGCACCAGGCTTGGAATGGATTATAAATTAGGGTCAACTGTCACCTATTATTGTGATGCTGGCTACGTTCTTCAAGGATATTCAACACTGACCTGTATCATGGGAGATGATGGAAGACCTGGATGGAACAGAGCCCTACCAAGCTGTCATGGTAAGAAACACATTTGCTGAGGCTTTATTATTAGAAGAAATACTTATAGCTATTTCTGGATTTTAGAGCAAACTTGGACATGAGGAAGGGGTTTGGGGGGAGAGGGAAAAAGGAGGGAAAGGAATGGGATAAAGGAATCAAAATGATCAAGATATGTCGTACACATGTACCAATTCCTTAAAACAAGTATGATTATGTTGCATTCCAAACAAATACTGATTTAAAAAATCTAGTGCTTTTAAGAGAAAAAAGTTTATTATAAAAAAAACATTGAAATTACCACCTACAAGTGATGTATAAGCAATGAGGATATTTTATCAAGTTTTTGAAAAACAAATTGAATTAAAAATGACCTTGCAAAAGTGTTCATATTTGCAAAAGTGTTCATATTTCCAGGTATCTCCAGAGCAATGTGCCTATTACAGTTGCAGAGTTCTCCCAAAGCAAAAGTACTTTCTCTCTTGTTCATTTATGAGACTTTAGAATTTAGAGTTCTTGAAGTCATTACGTGTGCATAAAATATTTGCCATATGAATGAACAGCAAGAACTGTGAAACTGAGATTTCAACATAATTAGATAAATGTCATTTAATTCAGTCTTCTCAAGAATATTGTGTAAAGTACATGTGTTATACATATGAACTAAATACTCATACAATGAATGAAAATATCTTATGTCACAGACAGGCACTAAAAATAATAATAAAAATGGAGAAAGGGGATTTAGAGCCAGAAGAAAGGGAGTGAATAGAGAGGAGAGAGCCATTAATAATAATATGAAATATCACACATATATACCTAAATGTGGATTTTGTCTACTGAAAACTCATACTATATATAAAATAAAATAATCAGTACTAGTGATAAATCTTTATCTAAAAGGAATACAAAAGAATATACACTTCTAAGAACTAGCTATCCAATCTGTGCACCAGTGAGTCACAAAATCGATGCTTTGGGTTATCACCAGCAGTTTTATAGTAGAAGTAGAATTCAATTCAATTAGATTAGAATTAAAGTAAAAACTTGAGAAAAATATTGTAATTCAATAAACACAGTACTGGAAAATATTATTTTATTGACTTTTTGCAATTGTATATACAAAAATGAATAAAATTCAGCAAATGTAAATACACATATGTATATGTATGTATATATATATATATATATATATATATATGCGTTCATTTTGTGTTTGTGTTTGTTTTTACTGGGCCATGATATAGAGCATATTTGTTACTATGGATTTCAGTAAGAAACCTACAACAAAATTGATCTGATAAAGTATGGACTTTAGATTTTAAGTGACTGATGCATAATATATCCTTTCCTCATTGTAAAAGGCATGCATTTATGAGGACTTTTTTTGCACAACTTCTGACTTTCATAAGTCATTTCATCTTTCTGAGCTTATTTTCTCTCAACTCCAAACTGGGAATAATTGAAATTCCATGCTTCAAAATATTGTTAAAACAAATAAAACAATAGTGGAAATTTATTAAATTTGTTCACCAATTGCAGAATAACCGATTGATTCTTGTTTTGTATTGATGACTTCCTTTAACAGAAAATAACAATTTTATTCTGATTCAAAAGAGAAAACAAACGACTGTTTGAGGTGTAATTCTTCCAAAATTTATGATAGCATGGCAGTTTCAATGAAACTGAAGACAATGATCACTATTGTCTTACAGTTTAGAGCCATAAGAAGGAAAAATCTGAGAAAGTCAGGAACGCAAAAAAATAGTATACATTCATGACAACATACGTACTAACAATAATTTTATTTATTCTATATTGGAGGAAATGAGGATTTCATTTATCATAGAAATATCAACTGCATTATATTTGTATGTACACATTATATATACACACAAATCTTCTAAACCATGATTTCATCTTATCAATTTTGTGCAGTTAAGTAACTTAATGTTGCCTGCATAGATGTACCTAGACAGTTTTGAGCAGGGCAGGACTGAATTTGAATCCTTTGACTGTATGACCTGAGGCAAACAGAGCTTTGATTTTTAATTCTTTACAAATGCATGGACACTTGTCAATTCAATTTATTATTATGAAAAGTCAGTTAATAAACAGCACATACAGAGGGTTTAGTAAAGTGCCTTATAAATACTGATATATCCTAATGACTTGCTTCCCTTTCTAAGCAAAACCATTTGCTTGGTACTTGTCACTTTTGGTAGCTGCTGTGTTTCCTGGAGCTAATTAACAACAAGTACTGAGGTATCACCGCACACCGAATCATGGGATGAGAGTATGAATCTGTGAGGTCACCGAGAAAACTACATTGAGGAATCATTGTAAAACGGTACTTTCTGTGACTATTACTGTCACACACGGAAGAAAGCTTAGTACATTTCAGTATCATTGTCACCATCACATATATCTAATAGTTTAACCTCTCAGTAACAATATACAGGATGGAATAGCTTTCATCTATGTAATAAGTTAACATAAAAAAGAATAAAAACTTAGTGTTTAAAGCCTGTGAATAGAGCCAAAAGAATATTGTTCAGAAAGATAAACTCCTTATTTGTAAGGCAAATTCATATATATACATATACACACAGTTGTTTGTTTGTGGTGTTGAGGATTGAACAGGGTACCTCACATGTGCAAGACATGCACTGCATCACATAGCCACGTAGGTGTTATTTCTTATCTAAGTACAGTATACATATAATTACTACTAAGAAAATAAACACAAAATGACTTAAATGCTACACAGTGGTGCTGCAGGAGCTGATTCCTCTTGTAGTTTCTAATTGTTCTTCATAAAACCCTAGGTTATTCTCTACTGATTTCCTGATATAAAAGAAAGTTATGTGAAGGCCAGCACTCCTCTCCTCAGCGTACTGAAGTTGTATCACTTTTGATTATTCTGGTGATTGGCTGTCTGATGTGTTAAAACGCTTGTGCTTCTACTTCTAGTTTAATCAGGGTTTGAGAATTAGTTTGGGAATCCTCTGTTGTTTTTCATGCTGGGTCTTTTTCCACAGCAGGGATCCTGATCAAGGTCTCCAAGAGCAGAGCTTTGCTTTAAAGCACCAAAGTATGGGTTTGACTATGAGACTCTAATTCCTAAATATCAAAATAAGAAAAAAAGTATTCATCTATTTATTTACTTTTTATTATTTTATTTATTATGAATTCATTTACCATTGTGCTGGGGATGGAACACAGAGCATTTACACTATCACTTTTTTAATGTAAAAATAAGTGTGCTTCTGACTTTACACAACCATATATTGCATTTTCTTTTAAAGTTGCTTTTAGTTTCACTCTAGAAGAGCACAGTTTCCACGAAATAATGGGAACATACTCCTGTTTAGCATGTGACACACAAACCTATACAAATGGGCGTTTGGTAAATATTCGTGAACTTGAACTGAACCCTAAGAATTTACGAAGTTTTAACTCCGTTAGAGGGTAGGCTCTTATCACTGTTTAGGATTAGTTGTACATGTTAACGCTGGAGAAAATACTATGAAGAGTTTAAATTGGACAGTGGGGAGATTATGTTTGTCAGAAGTAGATCCAAAATGATTGTATCCTGTCATAAATCCTGTTCTGTGATGAGAAACTGCAATTTATCTCACAAGAATGTCACATAAATTAAATGATAACAAAATGGCAAATCTCTACAATTTACTGTGCAATTTTGAATTTAGAAAATAACGTTTTTTTTAACCTTCTCATTTTACATGGCAGTTGCTGAAACTGTTAATTTAGTTGTTAACAGGCATACTGGATTAAGGTAGAAGTAGCGTAGCCTTTTTTACTGTCATTTGTTTCTCTGTTTGCTTTTGGGACAGGGGCTTGCCTTGTAGTTCAGGCCGGCCTACACTCTTGGGCATCTTCCTTCCCCAGATTCTTGAGTGCCAGCATTACAGGCATGTGCTGCCTTGCCCAGACACGTGTCATTTCTCTTTTCATATTTAATTTTTTAAAAAAGACAACAGGTAAAACAGAAAGTGACATTTAGAAAGACAACACAGTAATTAAATCATATTTGAATTTCCTTTGGTCACATATAGGTCTTATCTACAGTCTACCCATGGTCAGCTACATACTGACAGATCCCACATTTCCTCCCCAATACTAACCACTTGATGTATTTCCACCCCATCATGTCACATTGATTTATTTTGCCCAAAGACACAGTTCACCCCTAATCCAGAGCACCCAGACAGCCTTACTGATTGGGCAATCTGCTAACTGGCTCTTTCCTTCCCTATTCCCATTATGGAATTTTCTGAACACAGCAGGAATTTTTAAAGCATGCATCATACTATAAAGCATTTACTAACAGCCCACACATGGTTTCCTAAATCAGAATAAACCCCAAAGGTTTCACTGTACAATTTTGGTCCTGCTGTCTCCTCCGCTGCACTCTGAGCAACACTGGGAACCTCCAGTTCCTTCACAACACTCATCACAGTTAAGTCTCAGAGCCTGAGTTTGTTGTTCCATTGGCCTGGAACAGTTTTTCCCAGCTCCGTGGCTTGCTTGCTTGCTTTCTTTCTTTCTTTCTTTCTTCCTCTGCTTTTCGTTTTTGTTTGTTTGTTTGTCTTTTTGAGACAGTATCACTGTGCTGTTTGGGCTGGCCTAAGGCTTACTTTGTAGTTCAGGCTGGTCTTGAACTTGCAATGATCCTTCTGTCTCAGGTTCCCTAGTGCTAGGATTATAGGCTTGCAACAGAACGCCTGGCTCTTGGACAGCTTTTTCATACATTTAACTACTTGTCTTTTTTTGTTTGTTTGTTTATCCTTAGCATTTTTGTTTTTGTTTTTGTATTTGTTTTAGACAGGGTCTTATTATATAGTTCAGGTTGGCCTTGAACTCACTGTGTAGCCCAGACTGACTTCAAACTCACAGCAATACTCCTATCTCAGCCTCCCAAATGCTAAGATTACAGGTGTTTGCCGTCATGCCTGGTTTATTTATCTTCTTATTAAAAGGAAGATATATGTAGTTTT